CCTGCCAGGTCCTGCCAGGTCCTGCCAGGTCCGCATCGCACTTTGTGCTTCCTCTTGGGGTGTGAAAAGCCAGGGCAAACAGAGAGGAGCTGCTCCGTGCCCAAGGATGCTCCTGGGCTGTGCTCCCCCTGCGGAGAGGACGGTCCTGACGTGCCCGGCAGGATGCCGGGGGCAGAACAGCAGCAAACAGACAAAAAGCCCAGACTGGCCCTGCTGGTGGGGCGGCCGGTGGCAGAAGGTGCAGACAGACGGACGGACAAGACCCCGGGGCTGCTTGGTGCTGCAGCGTTTCACAGGTCCTTTTTTTTGTGGCTTGTATGAAAGAGGTGACACACAGACAGACTTGGGCTCAGTGGCTCCTGGTGTGGGTCAGGGAGTGGCCGTGGCGGACAGACCGACGGACGTGGGCTCAGGATCCCGTAGGCAGCATGAGCGGGACGCGCAGCAGAAGGACGGACAGAAGTTGGGAGCACACACGGCCAGCACAGGCTTCGGGCAGCAGATCCAGCAGGACAGACAGATGGCTGACGGACCAAACACCCAGCCTGACTCGGGCAGGGTGGAAAGACAGACGGACACGGGCTTGGCAGTGGGGAAACGGAGCACATAGTTCAGGCAGGGGGTAGAGCAGACAGCTGGGGACTCGGTCCCTTTGAACAGACGGATGAACACAGGCACAGCATTTCGGATGCCCAACATGTGGTTCGGGTCGTAGATGGACAGACGGACTTGAGCTCTTGGCTCAGGTGCCCAGCACACGTTCAGGTAGGAGATGCGTCAGACAGACAGACGGACGCAGGCTGGGCGGCTCAGACGTCCAGCACGTGGTTCAGGTAGGAGATGTAGCAGATAGCCAGGCGGAGGATCTCAATCTTGGAGAGCTTCTTGTCCGGCGGCAGGGTGGGCAGCAGCTTGCGCAGCTCGGCGAAGGCCATGTTGAAGGCTTCGACGCGGATGCGCTCCCGCGTGGCGTGGGCTGTCCGGTATTTGGCCGTGGCACGCCGCCGCCGCCGGCGCTCCTCCCGACTCAGGTGCTGCAGGTCTTTCTTCACGGCCTCGCCCGGCTCCGCTACCCGGGACTGGGAGCACAAGCCAACGCTGCTGCCGTCCTCCGCGCTGCCCGCACGGCCGCAGTCGCTGAAGACGGACTCGGACTCGGAGTGTGTCGGGGGCAGGTCGATCTCCGTCTGGTCCGAATTGAGCATCATCTTCGCCGGAGAGGGGCGGACAGGGAGGTGGATGCGTCAGAGATACGGTACGTCGGGAGGGCAGACCGACCCGGGCACGACGTTGAAGCAAAACCGCTCTACTTTAAAGAGAAGGTCTCTGGCTCACAGCAAGCCTTTGGTTATTCTCCTCCTCTTCCTCCTCATCACACACGGTCGCCACAAGGGAATTTTGAAATTTTTCCCTTTTCCCCAGAGGACTCGTTGGGTGGGTGACAACTTTCTCAATAAATAACGTAAGGAAGATGGAAGGACACATATAAATAAAACCAATAAATAAATAAATATCCTCTGCACACGCGTGTGCACAGAGGCCGGGGCTCTTCCGTGCCGCCGTGGCAGGACCCAGTTTCGGAGCTGTCAGGTGTCAGAGCCGAACTCCTCCCGCATGCTCTAGAAAACAGAAGCACAGGGGCTCTCAGTACCGCCCGGCTCCCGGCGGACACCAGAGCCGCAGCCAGAGAGCGCGGCTGTTTGCTCCCGCCGGCCC